GGTTATTATTTTATCTTATTTATTTGATAGCATAGGATGGGTGAATCTCTCACAATATCTACTCTGCTACAGGTCTTATACTTACCGGAACTTTAGCTTTAATACTATTCATATTTCCAGCAAGTACTATAGGCTCACTTTAGGTGCACCTATATACTTTTTTGTGTTTGTTTTGCATTGTGTAGTAAGTAATTTGTTTTCTCTGTGTTCAGCTCTGTTAGCCTTTTATGGAGAGTGGATAGTTTAGCTGCCAGTTCTGGTGATAGGTTAGCTTTGTTTTGGGGCTGAGGTGTAAGCTAGTTGTTTATAGCATTCTAGGAGGGTCTACTGGTTTTTTGTCTTGAGGTAGGAGGAGAATCGTATGAATAGTCCCCTGATCACGGCTTTATGAGCCAACCACACTATAGTATAAGAAGTCCCCTGTCCTGAGTTAAGTGTGAAATAGTCTGTGACAGCTGCGTTAATGTCTTGAAGTAGAGAATCATTCATTCACCAGGACTCTTTCCCACAGAATGTAAGTGAGTCGCATAGCTCTAGGACCACTGGACTATGGTCGGACCAGGAGACGCCTATGTCATAAGCGGACAACTGTGCTAAGGCCACCCAGTCTAGAAAGAAAGTGTCAATCCGTGTATAGGTATTGTGTATCCCTGAGTGGAAAGTGTAATCACACTCCGTGGGGTAGAGAACCCTCCAGACATCGTAAAATTATAATGTGACAGTAGCTTATTACATTTCTTACAAGTGGCTATCATTCGTTTCTTCTGTTTTTTTGTGGGGGTATCAGTTGTGTTCGATTCCACTGATTATATAAAATTAAAGTCTCTGAAGAGGATCAGACCTCCTTGGTGGAACTCATCTTTAGTTAATAGGGAATGTAGATATGCCCAGGAGACCGCATTTTGGAAATAGGCTGACACCAAAGTGTATTGGACATCATTAAATTAACCCAGTTTTATAATAACCTTGCTAAGGTCTATATATTGTCTCTGCAAAGTAAAGGCTACGTTCTTATGTATGAAAATGGATACTCCTTTTGTCTTGTTATTTGACAAGGCATGGAATTAGGTAGGAAACCATTTTTTGTAAAGAGTGGGTGTGAACCTTGTAATAAACGTTTAACTCGCAAGTTGGAATAAACTTGGAATTAATAATAACATTAATAACTAAAAATAATAACTTAAAATAATAACTTAAAAACCGAGTGTAAAGTCAGAGTCCACACTCCTTGCTTTCGGCAATTCAATAATATTTATTAATAAAGGCTAATCAAACAAATAAACAATACATATACATTTGAAATAGGCTAGTATATGTTGCTACTAAAACTAATCATTGACTGAATGGAAAGTAGGCTAAATTAACATAGTAAAACAGACATAGACACGTGATACAGTTACCACTCCATTGATCAGCAGCTGAGAGTAAGAGAGAGAGGGTGTGTACAGTGGGGAGAGGGGAGAGAGGAGAGAGAAGGTGAAGAGAGGTAATTCAAAGAGAGAGAGAAATGTGCTATTCACAAGGCTTTAAACAGGTTAGCCCCTCCTTCTGCTGGACACACCTCCCTTAGTCAATCCCTTAGGATGTAACAGAACCAGAGTGCCTCCTGGGGGAAGGGGGATTGCATTGGAAGGGAATGGAGGAGGAGTTTATCAACAACCCAACTGATTTTGCCTTGTGAAAGGCCATGTGCTTCACAGAGGACTCCATTATTGCCTAAGGGTAGAATGGGGGCTTGAATCCCTGTATTAGAACACAATAACACTTCATTGGCATACAGTTTGGCTGTTAATCACATCCCCCCACTTATTACATCCCTCCTATTGACAATGAAGTGGATGAGACACTTAGATTCTATAAAACCCACCAGAGATAAGAGAGAGAGAGAATGCATCCTGCAGTGAATCTACTTATGTGAATGCACAACCCATTGTCACAATAGAGCTCTTTCCATTTACATATCATATTGGAGATGATATACTGTGGCAATCAATGACTTCAAGTAACAACACATACCAACCTGATTAAAAATGCATACTACAGAAAACACACAATACAATAATAAATGGGTGAATTAACAATACATTTTTCCACGGCAGTACCCCATGATGATTGGTTTCGGAAGTGAGTTGTTTTTTTTTTTATTTCTTCCACCAGGTAGTACTAGCCATGTCAGTACTACTAAATGTTCAGTTACTTAAAGTTCTTGTTGTTGATGAAAGAACTCAGCACAGGTTTGTTGATCCTTCTGTGTCCAATCCTCCATTAAAGTATTGATAGTTCTCTGAATTTAACACCCTCAGACTGGAGTGTTGCAGTCATACTATATATCAATTATATTTACAAAACCCAACCCAGTACCCACACCTCCCAGAACCGTACCCAAGACAACCCTCCTATTCCTAGTTCTACTTCTTGTCACCCATCTAACTAAAACCTTATTAATAGTGGATGTGACCCTAGAACAGTTCTGAAAGTGTGATGAAACTAGCCAATCTGTTAGTCGAATCAATTGGAAAGTAACATTCCTAACTATAGGGGTAGGTCTCAGTGAACATATTTGGAAATTACCACTAGAGACCACTCTAATCCTCTGACACTCAGGTCTGCTACCATTATCCATTAGTGAAGGAGTTGTGTGAATATAGGTGAAAGGAGGAGTCAGGATTATAGGCTTTATCTCTTCCTCTACATTCAACAAGACCTTCACTTCCCCACCCTTATTGTGTCCTACTGTTCCCCAATTTATCCCCTTTATGATTAATGTATCCACTATAATTAGTGTTATATGATACTCTCTAAGATTGCTGTTAACATTATAACTAGGGTTAGTAACATTTCATAACATTTCATTTCATATTAATATTTCCTCCCTCCAGATCTACAACCAATTTTCCAACCAGTCCATATTCATTCCCATTTTCCCCAACCAGTCCATATACATTCCCAATGTTCTTAATTTCCCTTATTGTCTTTTCCAAAATCCCTTGAAAGAATCATGTTGCTTTAGCCAAACAATCTTGACCGCCCACCCAAAATTAAATGTCACATCTACATATGGAACTTGTAGATTGTCACTGCTGTCCTCTGTTAAGTCTTTGGTAGATCGAGCTGCATTTGCATAGATACAGCTGTTGTTGCTTTGGCCTGTGATAAGCTGTTCCATCAATTTCCAGGTGAGTTTTAGCATGTTGAGTAACATCCATGTCTCGATATTTTTGGAAAAATCTGTAAGAGATCAAGAAGGCGTATCAGTTCTTAGCAGATAACTCTGTACCTGGGGAACAAGCCCCTTTATATAATTTACGTTGGTCTACATGGACTGACTTATAGGATTACATAGGGCTCTTCCCAATTTGCATTCCAGGGATAATTTTGATAAAATGTTTAATCTTTATTACGCCTACCCCCCCTTTCTCAAACAGAGTTTGAGGAGTAGATACAATTTTACAATTTGTTGGGGCCATATATGAGACCCCCCTTGGACAGTGTAAGTGCACCTATGAAATCATTCTGTATTGACTTCCAGGGGCTGTCTGCAACTGGCACTCTCTGATGCATAGGCCTTTGTTGCTTAGGGCATGGATATACTTTAACATAATAACCCTTCTTTTATAGAATGACCACTTTGAAGTTTTTGATGGTTCTGTAATAAAAGAGAAAGATTAGAATTCCTATTCAGTTCTGCTTTTAAATCTGGCACTTCTGAACCTTGATCAACAATCTTGGCTATCCGTAATTAGTTCTTTGCATGTGAAGTGCTCCTCCCATGCTTGTTGTACCTCAGGGTCTTTTACATGTAAATGCCATTGATCTCCATCTAAGACAGCCTCCTTTGCTAACAAATTCAATTGTACATTTGAATGAGTGTTTACTGCTGACTGGAGGGGTGCTTTAGTCCCCATTCAACCAGTTTCCCAAGATTCCATAGGGACAGAGAGTTTGATCTGGTGGCATAAGCAATGTCACTATGGATACAAATAGGGCGTGTGCCAAATTCCTTTGAAAAAATTACAAGTCCCCCCCAAAAAAAACTTCTTCAAGGATTGCTTGTTAAAAGGTCTGGGGACTTGTAAGATTGCTATCACTCTTTAATTGGGCAGCTGTGATAGCTACTCCCAAAAATTGTACCTTTTGTGTGAGCAACCTTTGAAGTGTTTAGCTTGCCTCCAGGATTATGCAATTAAGTAAAAAAAAATTCCATTAATAAATTCATATGTTATTGTTTTGCCCCAGAAGGGAGACTTAGTGATAGGTCAGTAAGTCTCACTGAAGCTCCTGTGTTAGTCCAATTCTTAGTCTGTTGCTTTGCCATGATTTCATTCACCTAAGGGCGTCCTGCATGGTCCATAAATGTGTTACAAATAGGAACCATGCCATCCAGTTATAGTTATTCCAAAAATGAAATCAGAGGATCTTCACCCTCTTCATTCATTTTAGAATTGCTAGTCACTGTTCCCTGTACAGTCATCATTCTCAGAGCCTCCCGCGCAGGACCGTATAGATTGGTCTTAGGCAGGGGGTGAGAATGGCGTCCCTGACCTGTTTTATCCGGGGGTTTATTTCGGTCAATCTTTTCATATATATTTTGATCTATTCTTTCTTTGAAAGGCCCAAAGGGATAAGCATGCCGTCCCTCAGTCATCCTTTGATCTATCTTTGCCTTTCTACAATCCTTTTGTCTATGACCACTTTTGTTGCAATAATAACAAGTACCTCTGAATGGAATCTCTGGGAGAGCTTGCCTCCCTTCATTAGTAGCCATAATTGCCACCTTGTGGTGTAATGTAACACCTTTCCTAATTAAATTTTGTCTAGCTTTTCCTATAATAGTTAGAACTCCTTCCAGAGTGTCTTTTTCCTCTGCTATCATTTGCACTCCGGGATCTAAATAAGTGAATTTTTTTATCAGGTATTGCAGTAAATCAGGAGGGGTTTGGTCTTGTGGTATACGGTGGGTTAATCTGTACACTTGTTCAAATTTAGATGCAAAAACCCAAGGATCATCCTGTAAGTGTACCTTCATTTCAGCGAGTGAATGACTGTCTAAATCTCTTTCTCCAGTAATCAATTTGGAGATTGCTCTAAGCCTGTCTCCTTCTGTCCCCCATTTGTCTTCTTTGAACCAGTCTTGATCCCGATTAATGGGCCCATTTATGGGGGAATTTAATCTGCATGCAATGCTGCTTGGTGCCCACATTTTAAGCATAATACAGGCCTCTTTAGGAGAGAGCATATATTGTTTGACTGCAGATTCAAAGTTGGACATGTTTGAAATTACATCTATTTTGCAGTCATATGGGGGGAAAAGGGATCTTAACTTAACAAGCTGTTTCATTACTTTATCCCTATCTTGCTGCTGCAGAATTTTAGCAGTCTGCAGGGTGGCAGATGCCCTGCTTTTAACAGTCGGTGTAATGGACAAAGGGTCCCTAAAAGGTGATGCTGTTGGTTTAGTTATATGGGGGGTTAATACCGGAATACCACTAATATCAAACCCATCCAGTACAAGGTTTCCCCTGTTTACCCCTTGGTCCTCATTTTCTGCAATACCAGATGCCTCTTCTTCCTCTGCACACATATCCCCATGGCCACATACAGCAACTGGGGTTTGTGCAGCTAAACCTGTTCTAAGCGATGAAATTAGCTCTCCTCTCGCTTCATAATTATCCTCTAATGTATTTACATATTCTGCATTTAAGCCACAAGTTGGACAATCACTATATTTCTGAGTACTACTTTGTATACATGTTCTCTTTGTTCTCTCATGTTCTCTTTTTCGCATTGTAACCACATGCTATGCATTTTCTTAAATTCATTTTCATTTTCAAACATTAGTGGATCAAAACTGCTAGACGCTGCATATTCTGCTACAATTTCCATTCTTAAAATAAAGCTAAAAGTACTTACACGATTTGTGTCTTCAGACTGCTGGCAAATCAAATGGTGTGCACCCCACTTTGAATCCTTGGTCTGGCTATCTCCGATCCTCCAGAAGTGATGGCCGGCTTACAAACTGCGTCTCACTCTGGTTGCCTCTGTAGGATCCCGCACGTTTAACTCGCAAGTTGGAATAAACTTGGAATTAATAATAACATTAATAACTAAAAATAATAACTTAAAATAATAACTTAAAAACCGAGTGTAAAGTCAGAGTCCACACTCCTTGCTTTCGGCAATTCAATAATATTTATTAATAAAGGCTAATCAAACAAATAAACAATACATATACATTTGAAATAGGCTAGTATATGTTGCTACTAAAACTAATCATTGACTGAATGGAAAGTAGGCTAAATTAACATAGTAAAACAGACATAGACACGTGATACAGTTACCACTCCATTGATCAGCAGCTGAGAGTAAGAGAGAGGGTGTGTACAGTGGGGAGAGGGGAGAGAGGAGAGAGAAGGTGAAGAGAGGTAATTCAAAGAGAGAGAAAATGTGCTATTCACAAGGCTTTAAACAGGTTAGCCCCTCCTTCTGCTGGACACACCTCCCTTTGTCAATCCCTTAGGATGTAACAGAACCAGAGTGCCTCCTGGGGGAAGGGGGATTGCATTGGAAGGGAATGGAGGAGGAGTTTATCAACAACCCAACTGATTTTGCCTTGTGAAAGGCCATGTGCTTCACAGAGGACTCCATTATTGCCTAAGGGTAGAATGGGGGCTTGAATCCCTGTATTAGAACACAATAACACTTCATTGGCATACAGTTTGGCTGTTAATCACATCCTCCCACTTATTACAAACCTATTATTAAAATTATTTCTTGGAAACACGCCATGTCCACACTCTGATTTAATATCTTGGAATAGTAACCTTCTCTTCCCTGGGGTATTCAACCCCTTAACATTATATGCTACCAGCTGGCAGCTGGAAGGAGAAAAGTGCTTTACACCATCTGCATCCATCTGAGCCGGCTCTTGAGGCTAACTCCCACTACAGACATCCACTGTGCTGGTAATAATCTTGTATACCGTTCCTGCCTTGTATTTTTAATATATCTTTTATATACAGTTGCAAGAAAAAGTATGTGAACCCTTTGGAATGATATGGATATCTGCACAAATTGGTCATAAAATGTGATCTGATCATCATCTAAGTCACAACAATAGACCATCACAGTCTACTTAAACTAATAACACACAAAGAATGAAATGTTGCCATGTTTTTATTGAACACACCATGTAAACATTCACAGTGCAGATGGAAAAAGTATGTGAACCCTTGGATTTAATAACTGGTTGAACCTCCTTTGGCAGCAATAACTTGAACCAAACGTTTCCTGTAGTTGCAGATCAGACATTCACAACGGTCAGGAGTAATTCTTGACCATTCCTCTTTACAGAACTGTTTCAGTTCAGCAATATTCTTGGGATGTCTGGTGTGAATCGCTTTCTTGAGGTCATGCCACAGCATCTCAATCGGGTTGAGGTCAGGACTCTGACTGGGCCACTTCAGAAGGCGTATTTTCTTCTGTTTAAGCAATTCTGTTGCAACATCCATCTTCTGTTGAGCTTCAGCTGGTAGACAGATGGCCTTAAGTTCTCCTGCAAAATGTCTTGATAAACATGGGAATTCATTTTCCCTTCGATGAAAGCAATCCGTCCAGACCCTGACGCAGCAAAGCAGCCCCAAACCATGATGCCCCCACCACCATACTTCACAGTTGGGATGAGGTTTTGATGTTGGTGTGCTGTGCCTTTTTTTCGCCACACATAGTGTTGTGTGTTTCTTCCAAACAACCCAACTTTGGTTTCATCTGTCCACAGAATATTTTGCCAGTACTGCTGTGGAACATCCAGGTGCAATGTTTTGTTTGGACAGCAGTGGCTTCCTCTGTGGTATCCTCCCATGAAATCCATTCTTGTTTAGTGTTTTACGTATTGTAGATTCGCAGGGATGTTAGCATTTGCCAGTGACTTTGGTAAGTCTTTAGCTGACGCTCTAGGATTCTTCTTCACCTCATTGATCAGTCTGCGCTGTGCTCTTGCAGTCATCTTTACAGGACAGCAGTGCTGAACTTTGTCCATTTATAGACAATTTGTCTTACCGTGGACTGATGAACAGCAAGGCTTTTGGAGATACTTTTATAACCCTTTCCAGCTTTATGCAAGTCAACAATTCTTAATCGTAGGTCTTCTGAGAGCTCTTTTGTGCCAAGGGCTTCATTCACATCAGGCAATGATTCTTGTGAAAAGCAAACCCAGAACTGGTTTGTGTTTTTTATAGGGCAGGGCAGCTGTAACCAACACCTCCAATCTCATCTTATTGATTGGACTCCAGTTGGCTGACATCTCACTCCAATTAGCTCTTGGAAATGTCCTTAGTCTAGGGGTTCACATACTTTTCCCACCTGCACTGTGAATGTTTACATGGTGTGTTCAATAAAAACATGGCAACATTTCATTCTTTGTGTGTTATTAGTTTAAGCAGACTGTGATTGTCTATTGTTGTGACTTAGATGATGATCAGATCACATTTTATGACCAATTTGTGCAGAAATCCATATCATTCCAAAGGGTTCACATACATTTTCTTGCAACTGTATTTTGTTAATAAACTGGTTTTTATGTTTATCCAGTTTTAATCATTTTTTTAAGTGGTTCTTAGCGATACCCAGCACGTATTACACTGCAGAAATCAGTTCTATATACTGTTTTATCTTCCTCGAAGGGTTTACATCTTTAATTCAAAAGTATATAACTTGGTGTATATTCCATTTATTCTGCCTATAGCAGATTTAAAGGTATACACACCATATACACTTGCTGCACTTTAACCCAGTCCTATATATTTTCTAACTGCTATATTTTATCATTATCCACCACCGCTTTTTATTACCTTTACCTCTATGTTCTGGTTTTATTAAAATATCAGTGCTTTAATACTTAAGCCATTTAGGTTAGTTAGCTCCTGGAACACACACACCACATTCAGGGTGTTACCCTCTACAACATTATAGCAAGTTGCATGGGTCTGTGGTTGGTGGGGGGCTGGTTAGATGGGGGTGTTGGTAGGATATAATTCAGGAAGGTGGGGAAGGGAAGGAGATCAGTCAGAAACAGTAAAGTGTGGTTGTTCACGCCATGTGAGCATGAGCCATCCATTCTGTACATATGGATGGGCTATGGGGATAGTGACTAAGGGTGCTTCCCACTAGTTCTAAACAGTACAATTAAACTTTTTTTTTTATAACAATGAACTTGTCTGGTGATTTTTGTATATTGATATACAGTATACTGTTTATCAGGAGTATGTGTTCCATATTGAAAAAACGTGTTCGAGCAGAGTCAGGATTTAACCTTAGGCAATCAGCCTGCAAAATAAATGAATGGGAACTTTGGACCAATGTAGGTCAATGCATAAAATACTGTAGCAAAATAATAATAGCATTAGCACTCTATGTCACTAGAGTTTACATATAGCATCAATTTTGAATTAGGACACCCAACGGGTGCTTAGCTAAGGCCTCTTTAAAGTACATTCAGGTGACATCCGCGGGACTTTGTTAGGGATCTCTTGCAGCGCTGATATTGGCAGGCCCCAATCCTGGAGCTAGCATTGTTCTTTCTGGAGATGTGATGGAGTACAAAGCGCCTTGGGGATGGACGAGAAGCTTTGCTGATATCCCCATCAGTACTGAACATTGTTGGCTCGGACGGCTGAGGTAATTGGTGACATGGTCTTACAAAACTGTAGGGTGGCAGCCGATAAGTCCACAAATATTTCAATAGCAGTGTACGGTTCAGGCAGAGGTGATTTCCAAGGTAGCTTTGGTTATTGCTTCTTTAACATGGACTAAATGGACGCTGGTCACCACATCTCTTGTCACAGACAGAGATAAATGACACAGTTGACGAAGTCGGTGCACTTTGTCTGGATAAATTGCAGGAGTTGGTTCTTGGAACATGTCCAAGAGGTAAGATTAAAGGTTTTCACTAGTGATAGATTATGGGATACCAATATTTCAAAGGTTATTCCTCCTGGATCTGTCCTCCATGTCAGCTAGCTTCACCTTCTTGTTTCTAATACGGCATCTAACATCTGGAGTTTATCAGCTTCTGATTACTTTACTTTAAGCTTCTGCAAAGTCACTCATTTTGTTTTCCAGCTGTGAGGTTCTCTGGCCCACCTCGTGCATCTCTTTTCTGAGGTAATTTGCCCGTGCTTGTAGCTGTTCAGAGATGTTATTCTGGAATTTGTTAGAGATTTCTGCCATCAGGTCCCTCATGGATGCGGCAGTCAGGGGTCCTTCTTCTG